ACTCTAAAATCATAGATCAATACCCACGAAAGCAACAATCTGTTTGGTTAAATATTCAACAAAAAATAATATATATCAGTAGAAAAACTGTTCTATGATTTTGACGATCTTCAGCCGCCCGTTTCCAAGGAGTTGAGCCTTATGAGAAAAAAGAGCAAACAAACTCACGACCACTCTTTTGAAATGTATATATTTTTTATTTGAAAAAAGACAATGAGTCACGGGTCACGGGAGACTTTACACACATCCATAAAATAGACACAAGTCACACCCAGATTCAGAACAACAATTTGTGGATCACACAAAATGTTGTTATATGTAGGGATCGTACCCACACCACTCAGCGCATTAGGAAGTGGCAAGGTGATCACATAAACGTTATGAGGTGATTGTAAAAAATGTAAACTAAATTGTTTCGTAATATTTGCGATAACAACGAAAAAAATACGCATTTAGAGACTACGAAATACGTATTTTGAGATCTGAAAAAAAATTACGGTAATAGCATACGAGTATCACATCACATCATCTCATCAACAGCCTTTAATAGTCCACTGCTGGACATAGGCCTCTCCTTAGAAAGGAGGTTTTGGCCTACTATACCACGATGGCCAGACGGGTTGGTATAGGGTTTGTATCAAGTTTTCCTTCTTTTTGCAGTGCTGGTGTCCTGCGTTGTTTTGCGCCCTTAGTCGCCTCTTACGACACCCACGGGATGAATTGGGGTAGTGACATTCCGTATTCTTAATCCGTCACTACACGGTAGCATACGAGTATAGGTATAAAGAATTAAAATGGAAAACTATCACAGTTAAGTAGGCTTATAACATAATATTAAATTAAGCGTATAACCTTTTTTTCGTTTCATCTAATGCCATATTAAATGAAACGTAACAGAACTGTCCATTTTGTTTTATTGTCTAGTCACACTACTCCGTTTACTTTTATAGGATTAAAAAAATAATAGTAGGTAAGTCAACTACCTATTATTTAGTAGAAATATTTTACTAAGCTAGTATATGTACATATATTTTTATTTAATTACACTTTATACACAAATGTGACAAAGGCGGACTTAATTTAGCATTTTCACCCAGTCGACCTTGCTAAAACATGGTAGATGCACAAAAATGTGATTTTATGAAAAATATAGCATATATAAGATATCATATACCCAGAGCACTTATTTTAATTACATTAAAATATTTTTTAATAAATAATACATATACAATAAGTGATAATAATACCTATACTTACATAAAATTATATTATATATACATAAATATACACACATAATAATATCTCGAAAGTAAAAGTAAAAAAATAAGATGGATCTGATAAGGAGTTTAAAAAAAAAATCCGCAACATATGTAGTTATATTATGTGCATGTGTCAGCAGAGGTGAGGATTAAGAAGCACTCCTCGCATTGAGTTCATATTTTTTTTCCATTTTTTTACAAAATGTTTTAAGACTTATTAAAACTTCATGTAGAAATAGAAAGATTTTATTCATTTGATTTGGTAAAATTCACTAAAATATTATAATATAATATCTTTCTTGTGTGGGATGAGTGACCACAGTCTAGTCGTTGTATTTTTTTTATCTTTGGTGCTTTGTAGTCTGTTATTCAGTAAATATCTTCACAAATTCTTTACTAAATGTCTGTAGTCACAATACCTTAATTTTTCGGATAGTTTTCAAGACCTGGCTGATGATCTGTGAGGACCGAGGGACCGCAGTTTAAGAGCTGTAGTTTTTCAAATATATGTTTACAAATACCCAGATTTGTTCTACAATTGTTTCAGGTCTCTCACTAAATCATATGACATTACGAAATACAAATATGGTCCCTCAGTTCACACGTACAAATAAGAAAATAACCTTAAATAACCTTTCGATTAGACATCAAGTTTGTATTGAGAAGCGTCTCATGATGACACAGCAAATTAAATATGATTGACAATATCAGTAGAAAGATAAGGGGTCACTAGGGTACCACAACTCGTGTTTTGAATGTCTTATCTTATTTCATAACTAGCATAACTTTATCAGGCATTGTATAGACTTTTTAACAGTGACAGATGAAAAAATATACCTATAGTTTTTTTATCTGGTTTTACATTATTTTTCACTTAACAGCGCACATTGTTTGAAGGTTTTAGCTTTCTATATTTATATATATATATCTTTTATGGAATAGGGGCAAAACGAGCTGTCGGGTCACCTGATGGAAAGTGATTACCGCCACCCATGAACGTCTGCAACTCAGGAGTCACAAGCCTGTTGCCGGCCTTTTAGGAAGGAGTTTTTTCTTGAAGGTCGTATCGGTCTGGAAATACCGCAGGCATTAACTTGTTCCACAAATTGGTTGTGCGAGGCAAAAAGTGTCTTAAAAACTTAAACGCAGAGCTGTGGAGCGCCAATTATCCGAGTTTGATCCGTGCGCCATATTTATATAAAAAGACGTTCAAAGAATTTTGTTCACGAATTAATATAGATAGACTAAAAGTTACCTAAATTATTTTGTACTTTTGTTGCTAAGCTGAGCTGAGGTCGTCGAGGTCTAGATGGTAATGAAGAATTATTTTGAGGTGTGGCCAGTTGGGCAAATGGTGAGAGAAGCTGAACTAAACAAGGAGTCGTGGGTTCAATTCCGTCCCAAAAGAAATAATTGTGTCATAAGTCCGATCAAGTCCGATGTCATGAGTCCGTGTGGTGACGGATTAAGAATACAGAGTGTCACCATCCCTATTCATCCCGTGGGTGTCGTAAGAGCCGACTAAGGGAGAAAACAACGCAGAACATTAGCACTGCAGAGAGAAGGAAAACTTGACACAAGCCCCATACCAACCTGTCTGGCCAGCGTGGTATAGTAAGCCAAAACCTCCTTTCTAAGGAGAGGCCTACGTCCAGCAGTGGACTATTAAAAGCTGTTGATGTGATGATGTGATGAAGTCCGATCTTTTGTTACTTAAATAAATTTACAAATTGGTTGGATACAAATTGACTGCACGAATGGCGTAGTGGTTTAAGAGTTCACCACGCCTCTTACCACTACGCTGGGTGTTGTGAGTCCGATCCCCACATGGGATGACACTTTGTGTGATCCACAAATGTTTGTTCAGAGTCTGGGTGTTCTTTGTGTCCGTTACATATACTCGTATATTTTTAAAGGATATATATTCCTAAAACGGGAGTAGTCTGATTTAAAAATTTAGCATACTTTAGCAGTTTGATTACTGTAGTATAAGCATTTACCTAATCTAGAATCAGATGGCCGTCCGTAAGATGTGTGAAATTATTATTATTACACATGCGTTTACTACTGGTCCGTGTGTTGACGGGTCCGTGTGGTGACGGGTCCGTGTGGTGACGGGTCCGTGTGATGACGGATTAAGAATACGGAGTGTCACCACCCCTATTCATCCCGTGGGTGTCGTAAGAGCCGACTAGGGGAAAAAACTACGCAGAACAACAGCACTGCAGAGAGAAGGTAAACTTGACACAAACCCTACATAATACCAACCCGTCTGGCCGGTATAGTAGGCCAAAACGTCCTTTCTAAGTAGAGGCTTATGTCCAGCAGTGGACTATTAAAGGCTGTTGATGTGATGATTATGTGATGCGTTAACTATGTCATGCTATAAAAATACTTCTAAAAATAAACAGTTCCGTTTGTCACACAAATACATGGTATTAAAAACAAATATACTCAAAGGGCTGCAATGCACCTGAGTCTCTTCAGATGCAGGTGTCCGTAGGCAGCGGTAGTCACTTACCATGAGCAGTGCTTTTCTCTAAGGATACAGCCTTGCGTACAGCACTTTTTTTTACGTATGGAACCCCCTCGGGCACCACAGCGTCAAACTTCAAACTAACCTAGTTTGCAATTCGAAGCTGTGATAGTGCTATAGCGTCGAATTTCAAACGAACTTAGTTTTAAGTTTACGCAAGGCTGTTTCCTTAGAGAATAGCACTGCTGGTGACTTGTCTGCTCGCTTGCCCCCTCTACCATGAAAAAATCTCTAGGATGTAATATTTTTCTTTTAGGAAGAAAGGTAGCCTATGTCCCTCGTGGATACAATGTTGAGCATCCATTAAGCAGTAACAAAAGAACAAATTCAGAAACAAACTAATTTTCATCATCATCATCAACAGCCTATAATAGGTCACTGCTGGCCCTCCCCCTCTCCTTAGAAAGGAGGTTTCGGCCTACTATAATACGCTGGCCAGACGGGTTGTACAGGGTTTGTGTCAACTATACCTTCTCTTTGCAGCGCTCTAGTCCTGCATAGTTTTTTGCTCTTAGTTGGCTCTTACGACACCCACGAAATGAATAGGGGTGATGACACTTCGTATTCTTATTCCGTCACCACATGGACAAAACTAACTATCGTATTTATAATAGTATTTAATTATAAGTACATTATGTTCAATAGACACCACTACTGCATAGGTATTTGAAATACCTAAACACAAGACAATAATAATGTATATTTGGAACAAGGAAGCAATACACAATTTAAGGATGATTAATAACAGTCATAATAGTTAAAAACTGTGTCGTGGCTCTGAGGCCACATTGTTCCGTTGGTTACAATTAAATTTGGGTACAGTATGTATGTGAGATTGTGCCTGCGTGCGTAATTGAGATAATATCTTATTATTACAGCTAATGAATAAATAATCTGCTTAAAATTGCCAATTCACTGTTAACATGTCATTTTAAATGAGGCCTTCTATCTTGACTCCTATTCATAAGAATACAAGATCGAAACTGCCTCTATTATACGGTAACGTAATTAATTTAAATCTAACCAAAACAAACAAATGCGCTGATAATAGAACCGATTAAGTATTTGTAGATTACTATATAGTCCAGTCGTTATATGAACGTGATACAGTACGAAAGACAACTCTCAAGCGTCAACAAGCTAACATTCGGGTCTTTGGACAAGTAAATTAAATACTTTTTAAAACCGTTCCCCAATCAGACAAAATGTTATACATTTTGTTGTTTACACTATGTGTTGTATTGGTGATCGTTTATTTAAAAACAAAGAACAGCAATTACTGGAAGAAGAAGAATATAATTCAGGTTGAAGACTTGCTGTTCAAATTTATGTTTGATGGTCGGTCTTTGTCTGAGATATGTAAAGAAATTTATGACAAACATGATGTACCTTACATCGGAACTACTCAAGGATGTGTTCCTTCGCTAATTGTAAAATCTGTGGAAGACGTTCAAGCCGTGTTTGCTGGTGATTTCCGAAGTTTTCACCATCGTGGATTGAAAACTAATCCTAAAGAGGTTTTAGCCGATAATCTTCTCTTCACAAATGATTTTCAAAAATGGAAATTGATGCGGCAGAAACTATCACCAGTGTTCACAAGCGCAAAACTGAAGAATATGTTTTACATTTTAGACAAATGTGCCCGTGATTTCGTATCATTGGTGGAAAGCGACGAGAACATGAGAAAAACACCGTTTAATGTTTTGTATACCTACACTACGGCATCGATTGGAGCTTCGGTATTTGGTATTGATACTCAAACAAAAAACACAATGAATTCGCCCTTCTTGGAAATGGCAAGGAAGTCTGTAGAACCATCTTTTAAATCAAACTCACTTATAATGATGGCAGACATATTTCCAAAACTTTTTGATTTTCTTAATCTAAAGTTTTTCAGTGATCACGAAGACTTTTTTGTCGGTGCTGTGAAAAGTGTACTTTCTGATAGAAGGCACACTAATGATAAAAACCGTCATGACTTCATAGAAACATGTTTAGAATTGCAAGAAAAAGGTGTGATGAAGGACGCTTCGACTGGGTGTGAGATTAATCCAACTGATGAAGTGATGGCTGGTCAAGCATTTTTCTTTTTCATAGCCGGAGCTGACACTTCAGCTAACGTGATGCATTTTACATTGATTGAACTTTCTTCAAATCAAAAAGTTCTTAACAAATTACATAAAGAAATAGATAGCATATTTGTACCGGGTAAGAATGAACTAACCTACAAAGATATTGAAAACCTACCGTATCTGGATATGGTAGTGAGTGAAGCAATGAGAAAATATCCACCAGTAGGTGTGATTCAAAGAAAGTGTACTAAAGATACAATGTTACCAAGCGGAGTGAAAATTGAAAAAGATAGTACTGTGGTAGTGCCCGTATTTGCAATCCAACGGGATGAAAAATATTTCCCAAATCCACAAGAATTTGATCCCGAGAGATTTGGACCTGATAATTCCAACGGAATCACCAATTACACCAATTTACCTTTCGGAGAAGGAAACCGTATTTGTATTGGTGAGTAAATAATATTACTATTTTGATACATGTCACACATGGTCGTCTGATTCCACATTAGGCGGAGTTTGTGCTATGGTAACCAGACTGATGATAAACATACTTATACATTTCTAAATATATACAAATAAGAGATAAATTACAACCATTATTTCGCAAAAGTAATAAAGGTTTCTGAACTATTTAGAGAATTTTTAGTAAAACACGACTATATTGTTATGTTCATAATTTTTACTTTTAATTTGTTATAGAAAAAATTATTATAAGTCAAGTACAAAATCTTTAAGATATGAAGTTAATTAATTTATTGATTCTAATGAACTACTACGTAAGTAAAAAACAATAGATATGAAGGCAATACAGCTAATTTATAAGTGTAACAATGACATAATATGAACTCTACCCAGTGTACAACAGACACTCAGCCACTTCGATATATTTAGCTTAGATGGAAAAGCTTTTAATATTCTTAATTTAAAATAAAGAGGTTCCTTATAATGTTTTTTTTTTATTTCCAGGCTCAAGATTTGCGCGACTGCAAGTGAAAGTTGGTCTTGCTTGGCTGCTACGTCGTTTCACCTTGGCTGAACAAAGTCCTTATCCTGTAAAGTTCGAAAAAAGTACATTTGCGATAAGAGACCCAACGGCTCGTTATGATTTCATTCCCAGAAAAGTTTAGTGGGACAGGAGTAAATATTTATAGCGTTACAAAGTTACAGAAACGGGTACCTAGTATTAGGTTGTGTAGAAGACCCAGATAACAATGGCAATTTGTAACAATTTCAGTAAAATTTGTGATTTTCATACAAAAATAATTTTTGAAAGTAACAGATATACTTTGAAAATCATTACTGAGACAGCTAACGTTTGTTATGAAATAAGGCTGATTATAAATAGAACTGACGATGGCTGGTTCAGATTTTATGAACAATGTCTGCATGATAAATTGAAAAAACCAGTTAAGTGATTTTGACCAAAAAAAACGTAATTTATAGAAATATGTACCGCCACTAAGAATTTTTTGTCTTCAAACCTGTTTTTTTTTTCAAACTACTTTAAATATTTGTGGGCGTATAATGAGTTTACAATTTGAGCACCTATAATTCGCCGCTTTTGAAGGTCAAATACCTTCAAATTTTTGCCTAAAATCAAATATTTTGAGTTCTCTCCACATTGGATTAAAGAAAGTAAAAATAAGAGATTGTTTGTTTTGTAAAAACGTTAATGTGATGAGTGTATGTGAATGTGTATTCTTAGATAAGCTTAAGACATGCAGAAGTTTAGCGTTAAGTTACACAAAACTTTTTGAGTTGAATGAAGTAAATTCAGAACTTACAATTTGATAAAAAAACATTAAAAATAAAGGTTTAAGATAGTACATTTATGGTTTATATTTATTTCGTACCTAAAACGATAAAGTAAACTTTATACCGGACGGGTATGTGTGGCGGCGACGCCGTCCGCGATTGTTGGCGGTGCCGCGCGGACGCACTACTTTGCTAAGCGAAGCGCACTTCTACCACATTTTTTCCCCCTTAAAGGGCCTGATGACTTTCATGGGCGGCAACATTATTTTTTTCTTTTTTTGTCACAAGGTATTCTTTGTTTTATCAAAAAATTAAATAAATAAAAAGGAATTATCAAAATTACTCCAAAATATTACTATTTCCTTTATCACACAAATACACGATATTAAAAAACAAATAATGAATTAGATTTTGCCACACAAAACACTACATTGCTGTAATCACATCACTCCATTGCGGTAATCCGGACGTCCGGATGCGTTTACCCGGATTAATCTCGATATCGGTGACACGACGGGCTGTTGGATCTAGTACATCCACCCATCACTCAATGCCGTGTCAATTTACTATATACGAGGCAATTTAGGTGAAAAGTAATAGTTGATTACTTGGAGGTGTTTTATATGGAAATTTAGGTGAAAAGTAATAGTTGATTACTTGGAGGTGTTTTATATGGAAATTTAGGTGAAAAGTAATAGTTGATAACTTGGAAGTGTTTTATATATTTATTTTTGGAACGAAGTTCCTTATCGCGCGTTGTGAAAGGGGGCTAGACGGAAAAAATTCGTACGAAAATTTGGAACGACACTTTTAATATAAATTGACGTCTAACTGTGGATACCATACATTAAATTTGCTTTAACGTTCGCCAACGTCCATACCATGTTGAATACACCGGTTCTCGTCCGATCACCGAAGTTAAGCAACATTGGGCGTGGTTAGTAATTGGATGGGTGACCGCCTGGGAATACCACGTGATGTTGGCTTTTTGCTCTTTATTTTCGTGTCATCTTGTCAGACATTCAGCGCCATCTATCGAATAGATATCAGATATAGAATAGAAATCATTTCGCAAGGAGATTTTACCAATGTATAAATTGTTTTAATTGTTTTTAATATGTAGGTAATAGCCGCTTTCATAGATGGCGTTGTAATTAAAATCGTGTCAAATCAGTTTTACTCGATCGTCACAACTTCGTTCCTATCGGGTGTCCCACGACACCACACGGCTTTTTTTTATAAATACAGCACCCGCATTATGAAAACATTCGCGTGTCGCGGGGTACTTTACAAACATACATGAAACGGACACAAAGAACACCCAGGATCAGAACAACAATTTGTGGATCACACAAAGTGTCGTCCCATGTGGGGTTTGAACAACACAACACTCGGCGCAGTAGGAAGCGGCGTGGCGACCGCTTAAACCACTACGCCATCCGCGCAGTCAAGTTTTTATGTTGTAATGCTATTTTTCTTTTACCAGCTTCGAACCCTAATTCCGGAGGGGGGGCTTTAAGGTTGTCATTGGGCGGCGGTGGTCACTTGTCATCAAAGGGCCTAGTTTGAGTTTGTATCTCATCAACTCGCTACCGACGGAGACCGCGTTCGGGGTTGCGATTGGTCCGCATCAATCTTCACCAATAGCGGTTTTTTTTAAATGTTTTAAGAGTGCAAACGAGCAGAGGGGTCACCTGGTGGTAGGCAACTACCACCGCCCATGAACACCTGCAACTCAAAAGTCACAAGTGCGTTGCTGCTCTTGGAGTCCCTCCCGCTCAAGTCAGCGGGAGGAGGGATGTGGGCTCCGGTAACCTCACTCACTCAGTGAAAGGCAACGAACGAATTGCTTAACACCTTAATTGCTTGGGTAAAGCGAAGGTTACGCGTCCGCTCGCCTCTTCTTCCAAATGATGATTTGTAATAACTATATAAACTTACCTTTATAAATAGTGTGTTATTTTCAATGTGATGATTCTCAGTTAATTATTTATCATAAATGAACTGTATATTTCCTAACAATTGAGACTTACAATATTTTGTGAATCCACAATTTCTCGTACGGTAGAGGACGGAACCGTAATCTCCACAGCCTCGGGTCGAGGATACCATCTTGATTAATTTGTGGCACCGCCCTTATACATGATGCCTTAATTAGGCTTCTATAATTTGAAGATTGTGTGACTATGTAAGATAAAAACTAACTTGTTAATTAAGGAAGCAAGCAGAAAACAACTTTGAATAAAAAATATTTACTTTTTTTTTTTTCTTTTTGAGGTTGTAAGAGTACGGATTGTCACCACCCCTATTCATTCCGTGGTCGTAAAAGCCGACTAAGGAAGCAAACCACGCAGGACAACAGCACTGCAAATAGAACACCAACATGATGCCATGTTGGTGTTCTATTTGTAGTGCAGTGCGTAGGCCAAAACCTCCTTTGTAAGGAGAGGCCTATGTCCAGCACTGGACTATTAATGACTGTTGATGTGATATCATGTGTTAGGGAGTAAAGTAAAATGTTTGCGTCTAATTTTATTCATATTAATTTCAAGAACGCGACCTGTCTTACTTGACTTTATCATGCGCACACCCCAAGGTTCTTCATCACTGGTATGTCAGTAACGATTTAGTGGTGTGCCACAAGACCGATATATACCAAACGATGTTCTGTCACAAGTGAGGTTCACAAATGTTTTTAGGTCTTTTTAACAGAGACTAGTGGTCGCCCAATGGTCGATATTCTATCATAATTCATTTAAATTGTGTATTAGGGTTCTATTAATCTTAGGGTTCTTTTGTCAAAGATACCTCTGTGATCGAAGGGTTTTTCGAAGGGAACCTGCATTTTTTTATAAAACAAAAGAGTAAGTATGTGTATGTATGTTGTGTGTCATTCAAGCAGTAGTATATTTAATGTTCATTTTAATGTTTTTCTAATGCATTTAAAAAAAGTAGCTTAATACACTTTTTCTCCATATAAACTTTAACTATGTCAAATTTCAGGTAATCACCCCACGCTTTTCTGCGACAAAATGATTTTTCTTGTTTAACTTATTAAAAAAAATCCAAATTTTTAGTTTGGCTAGCTACAAAAGCGTCTTTTTTGTTTTTTTTTAACCATAATTTATTTTCCTTTTTTAGTCATTAATGATGATTATTATCTTATTAGGACTTAGAAAGTAACAAGTAACTTTATCACATATGCTTCAGCACACGCCATAGTACGTGGCAAAAGACACTACCGTAGTTTTAGGTATGGGAAAAGTCGTTAATCCTGAAGATCCCGATCAGGATAATGGCACAAACTATTTAAATTAAATCATTTTCATCAGTCCTTGATAAGTATGCAAAAATTCAATTTAATTCGATGTTATGAAGTGGGTCAAAAACACGTTCGAAGATTCCGTTACATACATAAATAGATACATACATACCAAGCTAATAAAAGCGTGTTATTAAATTAGATTCTCTTCAAATGAATTCTTAAAACCTGTTCGTTATTTCATTTTATGTTCGGAGAAAATTTTCGAATTATCAAATTAAAATTTTTCATTCGAAACAAAAGGGAAAAAGGCTTTCGGGAATCGATTCCAGAGATCGATAAACGGAACGGTATCATCGGAACGTATGTCAAACTCCCACTTGTCTGTGTTTTGTTAAAGTTAATGACTGTTAGTGCGTGTGCTTGAAAGACCTTATCTAAAATCTTGTTATACCTACTCTTAGGCTTTCACATACTCAGGAATAAAACCAACAGAGTTACGAGCCCATGAGGCGTCTCTGTGGTAAAATACGTGCTAACTCGGTCAATGTACAACGTTAACAGAAGCCTAGGATGTGGTACGGGTCTCCAAGGCATCCTAAAGTTGAAATAAGGTTGCGAACGACGGTAGATAAATTCTATCTTACTTAATACAATAGTGGCTTGCTTTTGATCAACGTCTTTTCTTTGTATGTACCCTCTGGTACTTCAGGAAAGCAATATAAATTAAATGTGTCGAGGGCAAAATGCCTATTAAGGATTTCAACACGGTACAAGAATTTTTGTGATTTCCCAGAGTGTTTTTCACGGTGTAGTTTATAATTAAAAGGACGTTTACTCTTTCGTTACTTACTCCTCCTTGAAAACGAATCTTGAAATGATTTCATCAGCAAATGTAATGGTTAACGAACATACTACGCGACATTATTTAAAGAACGCCGTAAATGCAGTAATCGACTGGAGGAAAGAAGCCAATGCTGAGCTGTCACCAGTCTACTCATAACTAGGATCGGTTCAATTCGATCGAAACATGCGGTAACTAGATAAGGTATTGTACTCATCGCTAGGCAAACCTTATTAATACTTCCATGATTATATTATAAATGTGCA